GCATCAAGCTAAACATGAGAGCTCTAGTAAGTCAAAGGAATTAAGCAGAAAGACACTTAAATTTATAGATCTTAATGTCAAACCTGACATTTTTCTATCCTGCTTTGTTTTATTCATCGAGCAGATACTTGGTTAGCTATCCTCTTGTGGATTACGGCAGCATTACAGAGTATGCAGGTGTCTATCCATTTGAAATCAACATTGGTCTGTGCTGGAGATTGTAAACGTTGTTTATAATCTGATCTAATGTTTCCACATTGGCACTGTTTAGGAACTTCCTTCTAATTTTAAAGAAAATACAGAGAAAATATATGAACCTGAGTACATAAAAAATCTGAGACTATAAATATTTCCAATTTTTTTTCTTTCATGAAAGCTATTAATCTCTATGTAGATTGGTCAGTGCCTCCATGGAATGTGTTAATGAAGCTGACTGCTATACTGTTTACTGGGTAGCAGATTTATAGTTTATGCAAGACTTTCACTCTCTGTAAATCTAGAAAATAACAAAAATATAAACCTCAGGCATCCTGAGGGTGTGACTCTTGTAAGGCATTCCAGAAGGCATGAGAGAAGCACTCATTTGTCCAGAAAGGATCTGAGCAGAGCCACGTGCAAAACACTCTTGAGGAGTTGAGATGGAACGAATGTCCTAGTGATGAGCTGTGTGTTTTAAACATGGTGGCACTAGAGAACGCCTCTTGTCAAATTACTTTCTGTATATAATATTACTGGAACTAGGAGATCACTTGTTCTCAGTGGGAAACAAATTTTCTCCATATAACGTCGCTATTTATTTGAACTTAAACTTGAATATCCCTGCTGATGCATTTGTAGCCTGTTTCTACTATGCCAATCAAATGATGAGCTTCAGAAAAAAATTATATGGCTGATAACCACTTCTGTGCTCACAGGTAAAAATATAGGTCAGATGTATTATTTTGATATATTAAATAGAGAAGCTAATAATATTTGATAAAATAAATTTGTAAAATTCAAAGCATCTTATTTGTCCTTTAATCTAATAGTTTACAATTAGAAATTATTTTTAAGGGTGGCTTCATTTGCATGATGAAATTCACAAAAATACTTAGGTATCTGTGGTCATTTCTCCCTGCTAGCATCAAAAAGACACATATACCAAATATAGCATGTCACAAAGAGATAAATTTAACAAAACAAAAAACAAAAAGAGAGAGACAAATGAAACATGAGCTTACTAGAGCTCTTGGTTTAAATACAAACAAACCCAAAAAGAAAAAAAAATGGAAGAAAGACAGAAAAGAAGGGACAGAGTGAGCAGAAGGAAGGAAGAAAGCTTTGTCTCCTCAATCAGAGTTATGGGCCAAATATCCTTAAAAGGCACAAAGGCTGAACATTAACACAGCCATTCCTCTTGAAGTGTTCCTGGTCTTTAAGAGAGGCTCTGACCACCAGGAGAACAGCACCATCATGCATCCACTCTACAAGCTAACATTTAGTAGCCCTACTTGTCACATCCATCTTCCCCCACACCTCATGAAATACATCGCTAGATCTTGTTGATATTACCTTCTTCATAGTCTTTGAATTAACCCATTTCTTTCCTTTCCCCCACCAACACTGTATTTGATTGATATATACAGTCATCTCCTCTTTCCATCACAACCCACTAAATGTCCCTGGTTACCACTGTGAGCATCCTTTAATCTGTTCCTTCCATTGAGGTAGAGACATGTTTTCAACATGCAAACTTACAATTTGACATAAAACTTGCTTTAAAAGCTTTAACAGGGTCCTTTATTTTTAATATAATGACCAACATTCTTATTGTAGCCAGCCATGATGTGGCCCCTGACACTTCTCCAGTATCTTCCTCCTAATTTCCTCGGGCTCCTAACACAGCCCTTTGTGATTTGCTACAGTTCCCTCACAACACAGAACATTCCCTCATGTTTTTGCTTTTGCCTGGAATGTTTTTCTTCAACTCTTGCTTGTTTATTAATTGCCAGTCATTTTTTTCCCTTTCAGATCTCAGCTCAAGTACACTTCCTCAGGGAAGCCTGTGTGATGCACTCTCTTACCCCTGTCCTGTAAGAGCTGTGTTATGCCTTTTAGCTATTGTCAGCATTATACTCCATAGCAGCTATCACAGTTAAAAATTACACACTGATTATGTGATGATTAGTATTGATCTTTATCACTAGAATATATGCTACATGAAGAGATAAACAGAGTAAGGTTTTCTCATTATTTTAACCTCAACATATCATAGTTTCTGGCACACAGTGAATAAGCATTATTTCTTAAAGCATAAATTCCTCAATGGTGTCAGTAACAAATGGTTGAAGCAACAATAAATTGCTTATTTCCATTCACCAGAATCACTTCGATCAGAATTTGAATTATAAAATTAAATTATTTCAAATTTTCTAATGGATGAATTCAACCACTTTATTTAAACTCCCTAGATTTTTTTTTTTTGGCATCCTATAGACGTGACCACAATGAATGAAGCTTATTGGTATTTTCCTTAAGTTACAGAAATTCAGAACTTTATTGCTAAACTGGGCTTTAACCAATTTTCTAGTGTAGTTTCCTCATTAGATGAGAAAGAATCTTAGGAGATCTGCAAAAGGTCATCCAGTCAGGTAGTAGCAGAGTGGAGATGCAAGTCTGCCATTTTACCTCCAGTGCAATGTTTTGTTTTGTTTTTCCCTACAACTATGTTGCGATTTCTAGGTTTTATGGTTTCATTTTTATATTAGAAATTTGTAAGAACCTAAAAGTATCCCAAAGAGGAAATATCTCCAAATGATTAATTTTGTCACACTATTTAGATTTCTGCCTTAAAATGTTAAAATAAGTAGCAGTCTTCTAGAAGGGTAGAACACAAGCCCAACTTTGTAAGAAATGAAAACTTTCATGCCCTGTTTGCACTTTATATTGCATGCTTTAAATGGGGGGTGTGGGCTGTGGTACATGTTTCCCTGGTTCCTTAATATTCTAAAGCAAAGAATTTCTCCAGTTAAATCTGCTTGTCATATATCAGTTTATGAGAACCCAAAGTAAGCTAGTTTATGAGGAAGTGCTTGGGGCAGAAACCTAATGGATGGGAAAGCACTACAGGTGTCCAGTCTGTTCCGGCTGTCTGTGTGAACTTGGACTGCTTGCTGCCCCCAGTAGATTTCACATTTTCAACTATAATCAGAGCATTGGTCTCAGTCACAGGCTCTGTCTGTCAACAGCCTTCCGAGATCCCACTCAGCCTTTGGTGTGTGTATGGGAGTGTACATTTTGGGGAGAAAGATGGTGCATAGCTTCTATTAGATTGGCCAAAGGGTCTGAGACACAAAACAGGTTAATTATCTCTATACTGATATCTAAAGTCTCCTCTAGCTTTTGAAAGGTAATAAAGCCATAATTTTGATTTCACATAGGAAAAGGGAATTAGTATAATTACCAGCACAAGTAATAAGAGTATTTGAAAAGCATATTCCGCACAAAGGAGTACTACCATTATCAGCCATACATGTAAGTGTTAGCTGAAGAACTTCACTAGGAGCCCAGCCCACATTTTCCATAATTAGCATCAATTGCCCCAGATAATGTAACTCCATGCAACAAAATCTAAATATGTTCAGGTTGTTAGTCCTGTCTTTACATTATCAATGTTCCCATGACCCATCAAGGTAGGCCTGCTGCACAGGATTACATGGAGTGGAGACAACTCAGCAGTTCATCAGCAAACAAGGCTACTACCTTACCATTTTCATGATATCTATTCCAAAACGTTGTTAGTTAAAGCTTTTGGATGCCTGAATAGTCACAGTTGCTAGCTCTGTAATTATTCAATACACAAAAGTGAAAGTTGCTTTGCTTATTTATTCATCTCCTTTCTTCCTTTTCTCCTTAATTTAATAAATATGCATCAATTGTCTACTACATGTCAGACATGTTTCTGGACCCTTGTGAAATATCGGTAAACAAAATATATTCTACTTTCATGGTACTTAAAGCAGAAATAAAATAAACAGCATACATAACAATAACTTATTTACTATTTTAAAGGTGATAATGCTTTAGCAAAAAAGAAAAAAAAATAAAGGGTAGGGAGGTCAGGACTACCACAGGTGAGGAGAAAGGTGCCCACTGTAAACAGGTGCAGGCAGGCCTCACTGAGAAGGCGTCGTGAACAAAGGCGTGAGGACTGAGGGAGTTAGCCAAGTACATGATCTTGGGGAAGAGCTTTTCCTATGGAGGGAGAAGCCAGGGCAAGGGCATGCTTGACTTGTTCAGGGAATAGCATGGAGGCTATTGTGGCAGGGAACGAGCAAAAATTGTTCTGCTGCTGTGGTCATTAAATTTATAAAATTTTATCCTACATTTGACACCTTGTTTTCTATTACTTTCCTGGTTAAAAAGAAAGTCATGATATATTTTATATAACTGTACTAGAGTCATAGTTGGATCAAGAATGTAAAGTCAAAATTCTTCTGAGAATTTTAAAATCACCCCAAAACCATGATTTCAGATTGTTATGCATTTTAAGTACCTCAATTCCCAGAAATGTATTTGGCAACAAACTGTTACATGATATTTAAATGCATCATGTAATAGGATGTCATTACAAAGAAATCAAGTAAAAGATCTTCATTTTGAAAATTTAGAAATTAGGCACAAAGTGATTTGTTATGTTCTGATAAAGAGAAATTCCAAGATTCATAACCAATATGAAAGCACCCATTCTTTGTGAAATGTCACTGTTGTATTTATAACAGCATTCATTTCATGAACTTTCTTCCAGAAAATGAAACAATCATGATTATTGTATAATCTTCATGGTATTTGTCTGGGTTGGTACATCAAAAAACAATACTCATATAAAAGTAGTACTTTTTGCTGGGGAGGGTCAACCATCCCTCCCAAGTAGGCAATCTTATTCCTGTCTAAAGCCATGCAAGAAAACACTCTGTGATCTCACAAGCTACAAGTGTAATGAAAAATGAACACAGTCATACCTTGCCCAACTGGTCCTTTTTCCCAAAGCCAGTAGCGGCTGCAATGTTCCCTGCTCCCTCCACTGTCTTCTGTGCAACTGCTGTCACCCCTGTAACCACCGCCTCTCCAACATTTGTCACTTGCTCTTTGGTCTTCTCAGCCACTGGGATAAATCAAGAGCAATAACAGATTAAGAGATGATGGAATGACAGCAACTTAAAATAATTTTACTTCCACTAGCTGTCAAGTTCTAAAGACCTCTACTTAGAATACCAAAGATAGCTGAAGGGTCAGAAGAAATAAAAGCTATAGAGATTTCTAGGTGAGCGTGGACACAAATATTAAATCTTCGTTAAGATATTTTGGTTTGATCACTAGTCACATTTAATTATCACAAATTTATTGCCATGAGCAATGTGAGTTTGGTTTGCCTTTTATTAAGGAAAGTTTGCAGAAAGCTATGCTTACAGGTGCAGTTACACTTGTAGCAGACTCAGCCTGAAATTTATTTCTTTATTTCAATTTCATTGCCAATTCTTTTATCTCATTGAAAAGGTTCCTTTTCACCACACTTTCTGAGTCACATGGCACCTCCATGCTCATACACACCACTATCAGAAATAAACAGTGCAGTGAGGGATGATTATGAGGGACCTTTGGTCCTTCCTTAGAAGTTCAGGTAGGTGAAACAGGAGGGCTCTTAATAATGTGATTGATTTTGAAGAGGTTTGTTGAAGAGGTTTAACATACTTAAAACTTCTTTTCACAAAACAAATTAAAATATGGTTCTTCAGTAGTTTTTTTAACATAAGTGAAAAATTTAGAAAACAGTATCAGTAGTTTAGGATTGGTTGCAGAAGCAGAGGTTTCATCTTATATCAAAAATTCTCGCCCTGGCTGGCGTAGCTCAGTGGATTGAGCGCAGGCTGTGAACAAAAGTGTCACAGGTTTGCTTCCCAGCCAGGGTACATGCTTGGGTTGCAGGCCATAACCCCCAGCAACTGCACATTGATGTTTCTCTGTTTCTCTCTCTCTCTCTCTCTCTCTCTCTCTCTCCTTCTCTCTCTCTCTCCTTCTCTCTCTAAAAGTGAATAAATAAAAAAAAATTAAAAAAATCGTAAAAATTCTCCAAGCACTCTTTGATATAATTGCTGAATTAATCTTTTCATGTTCCCTCCATGCAATTACCAACCAAAGAAAGTATAAAAATGGCCCTGGCTGGTGTGACTCAATGGGTTGAGTGCTGGCCTGTGAACCAAAGGGTAACCAGTTTGATTCCCAGTCAGGGCACAGGCCTGAGTTGCAGGCCAGATTCCCAGTAGGAGATGTGCAAGAGGCAACAACACATTGATGCTTCTCTCCTTCTTTTTCCCCTTCCCTTCCCCTCTCTCTAAAAATAAACAAATAAATATTTTTTGAAAAAAGCACAAATTAAAAAGGTTGTTTGGGTTAAATAAAGAGCTCTATGAAAGAGAGGCAAAGAACAAGAGAATCTGCTCTTTTAATAATGTCAAAGTCAATAAAGAAATAAAACACCCTCCCTTCATTTAAAACTTGTAACATTTTGCTTGTAAAACCTAGGGCTTGTATCTGTTATTGCTACCTATGCAGTGTTTGCCTTCTTTTCTTTTTCCCCCACAAACTCATTTTTTGTCTGTTTTTTTTCACCCATGTTTCAGGGATTTGTGGTTTAGGGTTATTTTTGCAGACTATACCCTACACAAATAGAGACACCTTTATTTACTATGCTTTGTGCTTGTACACATCCTCGCCAGATAATTCCCAGTCTGGGGAATCCATGGAATTTTACCACGTACACTGCTAGGTCTTACACTCTAGCCATTTGATTATTGTACAGATTTCATGTCACCAGTTGGGCAAGGACAATGATTAAACAGTGTGGACAAAGCAACTGGGTTTCAAATATACTAGGTCATTGAAGCTATGGGGGTCTGTAAGGTTGAAGAGGTTTACTCCTGGTCCTAGGCAATGGGGGAGGAAAGGAAGTGGCCTTAGAGTCTAAAATCAGGAAGAGCACTCAGCAGGTGTTGCTGAATATTGGCCTTTTACCACCTCTGGGATATTGCCACTGCCTCATAAGGAGTAATGGTTGTTCCCAATGCAAAGTTCAATTAAAATGCCAGTGAAAAGCTATACTAGCAATTTCAAGTTTTTTAAACATTTGTTTATCCATTGAAAGTAGTGCATAAAAATACATTTCATTATGCAGTTAATGTGCTCCAGGTTGCCATTTTTCCCCAAGAACATGAATAGAAAATTTTGCCTGATAATTAACATTTTCTTGTTACAAAATCACAAAGACAAAAGTAATTTTTTATCTTTTTACAGACTCATAATTTTGCCAACCATTTATGTTTATAATACTTAATTACTTATATATAAATATATATAAACCTTAATCTACTTTAACGAACATAAGTTACACAATAGAATGTACTTTGTACTTTCTAACTACAGAAAGTCCAGACTAACTACACTATCATATTTTTCTATAATGTGATACTTGAAGTTGACAACTGAAATAATAATGTCATGAGATTAAAAAAAAAGATGGGGTTTTGGTAGGATTTTCTGGATTTTATCTTGAGGCTGCCTAAGTGGAAGAATTTATCTTCCTTGGATTTTGTAGGTAGAAAACTCCTGGCCTATGTCAGAGTATTCCATTTCTATACTACTTTGTAAAGTAAACATAGCTGGTTATTTCAGAGTCATCATTCTTGACAGTTAAATATATTGTTTGATTTGTTCACAATAAATATTTGTCTGTTTAAAGATATTTAATAAAGAATTAAGACTACACAGAGCTGATTTTCCTTAGACTGCTCCTCTACAGGTGCAGGGGCTGTTCACAACTACATCCTGAATGACTGGCACCGGGTCCCTGCAGCTCACAGGGCGCTGCCCCATCACCCCTGGGTATAAGCCCGTGGAGCTTACCTGTTGTCACACCATGAACCACTCCTTCCTTGGTTTTGGAGCCTATTAAAAAAATTCAAAACATAAGTCTCAAACTGGACTTATATTGCTAATATCTCATTTTAAATATAACTAGTTAAAACAAAATTTCAACCTGTAGAAGCCCATATACAAAGGTACTCTGGGGTCAAAAACCTAAACCAAGGAAATCCAGCCATCACTACAAGTAGGAGGAAGCAGAGCCAACAGGAGGTTCTCTCTAGTGAAGGATCTGGCACACGTGATGACTTTCTATCTCCCGGTTTCCCACTGCACATATCGCCTTACAGAGGGAGGGGGAACAAAAGGTGAGGTGACAGTGGGCCTGGGCAGGGAGATGATTTGGGATTCAGAACTGGAGAGGCTTTGTGACAGGACAGGACAACAGTCAGTCAGCGCAGGAAACACTAATAGAAGGTGGGGAGAGGAAACCAACATTTGTTGAATGCCAATTATGTAAAAGTCACTTTATATCTATCTCATCTTATTTGATATTTGTAACATCCATTTCTTATATGTGCACTTTGTTCATTTTACATGTGAAAAAAATACAAATACAAGTTAAATATTTGTCTAAAGTTGCACAGGTAGTAACTGGCTACAAGCACATTCAAATTAAGGTCTCAATGGCCCTAAACTCATACTCATTCCACTGAGCCAGGTGAACCTTGAGAAGGAATAGATTATTTTATCATTCAAGTATTGCTAACACTAGTTTCAAGATGGGGAAAAATAGGAACTTCCCCCAAATTTTGACTAGCTTTTATACAAATAATTTATTAATATTTGTCATTAAAACTAAGTTTGTTAACAATTTTATTTATAATCTTTCTAATGTTAGAGTTTTCAAGTGCAATTCATGCCAATATTTTAATGAAATATTTTTGGAGAAAAATAACAAGGAATTTCAGATTCACTTCAGAACTACACTATAAGTCAAACAATAAAATCCTATCAGACATAGGAGACTATAAAGAAATGAAAACAAACTTTGTGAAATGATTTAAACCTATATTTGGATATTAAGATTGTTACCAATCTTCAGTTTAAAAATGCACTCCATTGCAAAGCCTTACTAAGTATGCTAGAAATAACTGTAAATACATTTTAAATGAAAAGAAAAAATATAAGAGAGCTTTGCTTTCCTTATCAACATAATTCCTACATAAGGTCAATTAAATAATGTCTAAGAAGCTGGTTCATAAACTGGAGAGCACAGCAGAATTAACTGGGTGGAACTGAGGTAACATTGTTGACTCTTGAGCTGGAGTCTCAATCACTCAGTAAATAACAGGCACAGATATTCACCTTATGCAATGACTCTCATAATCTACATCAGGTAATTTGTAGATCCAATCTGGAAAACACTGGTCTGAGGCAGCTTCTAGTTCGAAATTTACTTAAAATTTAGAAATACATACTTATAATTTAAATACTACAATGATCAATAAGATAGTCTAAATAAATATGAAGAATCATACTGAAAATGTTCTTTCACTATATTTATAAAAATAAATAAATATGATATTAAGTGAGATTTGTGTGCATTATATTGAAATTTATACTTTACAAAATCATCAAGAAAAGCTTCTACATTTAATAAAATTATTTGAATATATTTAAGAACTTCCAACTTGTGAATATTTAAAAACTCCAATAAAAACAAAACATCATGAGTGGATCAAAAAACTGTGGTACATTTAGATAATGGAATATTATGCAGCAGAAAGGAAGAAGGAGCTCCTACCCTTTGCAAGGATGGAACTGGACAGCATTATGCTAAGTGACATAAGCCAGGCAGCAAAATACAAATACCATACCATCTCACCTTTAACAGGAACCTAATCAACAAAACAAACAAGTAAGCAAAACATAAACAGAGACATTGAAATAAAGAACAAACTGACATTAACCAGAGTGGAGGGGGGAGGGGGATAACAGGGGAAAGATGGGGAAGGGTTGCCAAAGAACATATATAAAGAACCCATGGACAAAGACAAAGGGGGATAGATTTTATATATATATAAAATGTCATGTGTGTGTTATCAGCTGAGTTGAAGTTGTGCAATGTGATCTTAATAATAAATGAAAAAAATTACAATTATACAATGGTAAGGATTACCATTGTTCTATAACCTTGAACTTTTTTTGTCAAAAAATTAAAAAACTCTAAGAGGACATACAGGTGGCCAATAGACATATGAAAAGATGCTCAACTTCACTAATTATCAGAGAAATGTAAAATAAAACCACAATGAGATACCATCTTGCACCTCTCAGAATGTCTTTTATCAATAAATCAACACACAATAAGTGCTGGCAAGGATGTAGAGAAAGGAGAACCCTTTTTCACTGTTGGTGGGAATGCAGATTGGTACAGCCACTGTGGAAAGCAGTATAGAGGTACCTAAAAAAATTAAAACGGGATCTGCCTTTTGACCCAGCAATACCACTTCTTGGACTATGTCTGATGGAGCCCAAAACACTAATTCGAAAGAACATGAGAACCTCTATGTTTATTGTAGCGGTATTTAAAATCACTGAGATACACAGGCAGCCTAAGTGTCCATCAGTAGATGAGTGGGTAAAACAACTATGAGATATTTACACCATGGAATACTATTTGGCCATAAAAAACAAGAAAATTTTACCCTTTGTGACAGTATGGATGGACCTGGAGAACATTATGCTAAATAAAATAAACTAGTCAGAGAAAGACAAATATCATGTGATCTAACTCATATGTAGAATCTAATGAACAAACTGAGCAGGTGAAACAGAGACAGACTCAGATGGAGAGCAGGATGACAGCTAAGGTTGGGGGAGGTGAAGGGGTGGAGGGATTTAGCAAAAAGGAAAAAGGAGTCACAGACATGGGCAACAGGGTGGTGAATGAGAAGGTGAGGGAGGAGGTTAAAAGGGTATTAAACAGTAATGGAAAAAAACAAAAAAAATTCAAAAAAAACCCCTCCTAGTATACTATAATTTAATACATTAAAATTTCAAGTGTTTTATTTCTTTGTGAAAAACTTAACAAGTAGTTTAAACTCTGCTTGCCTTTTTCTTCTTATTGTAAGTGTATAACTTCTTATATGGAGCAAACATCTTTTCTAGGCCTTAGACAACTTGTAAATTTGTAAACTTGAATCAGTTTCCAAAATGTTACTCTTTGTACATTTAGTGTCATCTCTGACTATTCTTTTAAGATGTGATGTTTCAGTGGAACCACTTCCTCTGATGCAACATCACCACAGGCCTCACAGCCATTTTTATGTGTGTGTTGCTACTGTCACCTTCAATAAGTTTCTCTGGCTGCACATCTAGAGTGTCATGAATTCTAGCACTGTCAATATTCCTATAGTGGGCTATTTCATCCATAAATAAATGTATGCTTGAATCAAATTCCACTTCCAATATTTTCACTTTATTTCTTTGCTGCACTTCCATCATTTTGGTCCAATTTCCTGTCTTGATTATGTATTTTTGCAAAATACTCCATGATTTTTTTCACTGGGAGAAGAAACAACAATGGGCTTTGCTGTCTATATGAACTGAACAGGTGTTCAGTGATCAATCACCACCAGACTTTGAAAGAAGCCATGGGATCTGGTCATGTATCACAATGTGTTTCTGTTATTGATATAGTAATCTGCAGGCTGAAGAGCTAAAAGCAGTTTGTACTTTATGCAATTGCTCATAGTTCATGTGTTGTGGTAACAGAAATTTGAACTGTGTTGTTAGGGACTGGTGTTTTTAATGAACTGTGGTGACTGAATTTGTGTATCCTGGAACTATGTTAAGTGAAAACAGTCTGTATTTGAGAGATTATTTCTTATCACTATCCACCTGTCACCTCTTGGAATTCATATTTTTAAAAATGGCTAAGTGATTAGCAGAAAGAAACATGTAACACTTGGTCTGTAGTCTTTCCCTGCTTCCTCAGTATACCTGAGGACTGACCTTTGACTATATCATGGAATGTATCCTCAGTCAAAAATAAATGATGAATAAGAGAGGTGAAAGAGGATATCATTGTCTTGTCCCCAATCTTAAGGAGAAAGCTTGTAGTTTTGCCCATTGAGAATGATGATGGCAGTGGGTCTGTCATATATGATCTTTATTATGTTTAGCTATGTGCCCTCTATTTCCACTTTGCTGAGAGTTTTTATCATAAATAGGTTCTGGATTTTATCAAATGCTCTTTTTTTGCATCTATAGATATGGTCTGCTTTCACCTCTCTTATTCAACATGGTACTGGAAATCCTAGCCATATGAAGACAAGAAGAAGAAATAAAAGGCATCCAAATTGGAAAGGAGGAAGTAAAACTGTCTTACTGCAGATGACATGACACTGTACATAGAGAACCCTAAAAATCCCACTAAGAAACTACTAGAACTAATAAGTGAATTCAGTAAAGTAGCAGGATACAAAATTAATATCCAGAAATCAGTTGCATTTTAATATGCCAATAATGGACTATCAGAAAGGAAAATTAAGAAAACAATCCTATTCACAATTGCTTCAAAAAGAGTAAAATACCTAGGAATAAACCTAACCAAGGACATAAAAGACCTGTACTCAGAAAATAGTATGACACGGAAGAAAGAAATTGAAGAAGATCGAATAAGTGGAAGCACATACTGTGTTCATGGATAGGAAGAATTAAGAACATTAAAATGTCCATAGTACCCAAAGGAATCTATAAGTTCAATGCAATTCCTATCAAAATGCCAAACATATTTCACAGAACTAGGACAATTATTTCAAAATTTACATGGAACCACAAAAGGCCCTGAGTAGCCACAGTGATCTTGATTGAGAAAGAACAAAGTTGAAGGAATCACGCTACCTGATATCAAACTATACAGCCATATTGATCAAAACAGCCTGGTGATAACATAAAAAGAGACACATAGATCAATGGAACAGAATAGAGAGCTCTGAAATAAACTCACACCTTTATAATCATTAATATTTGACAGAGGATGCAAGCACATACTATGGGCTAAAGATGTTTATTCA